CACACACACAATGAAATATTATGCAGAAGCAACAATTTTGTAAATTACTACCTAACATAGGAGGAAATGGAAAGCATTATGCTAAGTGAACTAACTCAGTTTCATAAAGATAAATACTGTGTAGGACCATTATCAGCGTGTGTGTGGATCCAAGGAAGTAAGGGGTGCTTAAATGTAGGGTCACACAATATGGTGGGTGGTGGGAGGCACTGGTAAAAGAAAGGGGAAGGATCTGGTGTGAAAAATAAATATATGAACTTTATCAACTTTGTATGTAAACAAGTATAAAATAAACTTTTAAAAACCACAAACATATACACTCTGAATTCATATATATATATTTCTTTTTAATAATTCTTCTTAGCTAATTCTACGCTTCTTTATTTATGATTTAAACTCCTTCTTTCATTATATTTGACTTTTTCAGTCTCTGTAAATATATGTCATTGATTTTATTTTACTTTTCTGTCAATGGGTATGCAATCTGGTCTTCTTTTTTAGGAGAATGCTTGTTTTGTTTACTTGAAATGTTTCAACCTTCACACAGCTTCCTTGACATTGTGTGAAGTTCTTCTTGGTATATGTGAGAGAATTTCTATTATATCTAGTTGTTATATTTATATATAGTTCCTTATCTTTTTCTTTTTTTTAATTTTATGCTGTTTACATACAAAGTTCATTAAGTATGTATACATTGATTTTTCACACCAGATCATCTACTCTTGCCTCCCTCCACCCATCAAATTGTGTGACCCTCCGATTAAGTCACCCCTCCCCGCCTTGGAACCTCATACTTGTTCTACAATAATGGTCTCATACAGTATTTGTCTTTATGAGACTGAATTAGTTCACTTAGCATAATGGTCTCCAGTCCCTCCCATGTAATTTACAAACACATTGTTCCTGCATGCTGCCTAGTATCTATTATGTGGATGTATCACAATTTCTCAATCTATTCCATTGTAGTTGGGCAGCTGTTTCCATGTTCTTGCTATGGTGAATAATACTACTATGAACATTGGCATACAAGTCTCTGTTTGTGACTCGGTGACTTTCTCTGTTCCCTGTGAAAAGCTTACCTGGTTGTCCTTTGAGAGGCAGGGAGCTGGGTTCTCTCCATTTCCTGGCTGTGATGGGTCCATTTCTCTGTCCTGTCCTGTAGTTTGATGGGAGGAGGTTGTGTCCGCCAGGGATTGGCCAGTCCCAGGAGAACTGCTGAGGATATTTTACTCTAGGAAAAGACCCAGGGAAGAGACAAGGTACCAGCAGTACAGCCTCCAAGTCTGTGCTAATGAATGGCCTACCCACACATGTGTCTCTTCTCCTGTTGCTAATTGAGAGGGTTCTGTTCCCACTTAAGCAGACAGAGACCTAGGGAATTGGCACGATCCCAACAGTTCAGTCACCAAATGTCAATTTTTGCTAAGGGCTGGCCTGTGTGCTTGGCTTCTGTCCTGTGACTAGCTCCAGTACATTTTTATTGTTGTGAAAATTACATTTACATGTAATGCACATGTACAAATGTGCACAAATATTAACCCTAGAGTATTTTCACAAAACGATACTGGTAATAAGATCAGTTCAAGAAATGCAGTGTTGCCAATGTGCTGGAAATTCACCCATTCTCATTTTTAGTCGTTTCATTTCTAGAAACGCTGCCCATGTTACTATTTTTAGGATTTTATATAAGGTGGCTTAATATAGTTTGTACTCTTCCATGTAACTGTTCACTAGGGTGATTGATCGCTATTTTTGATGAAATTGTCTATTTGTTGTTCTGTAATATTTTCCCAGCATATATTTCTTAATGCCAGCATGAAACTCTGGTTGAGATGGATTGTTACAGCAAGTGGGACAATGAGGGTAGGTGTGTTGGAGTTAGCAAGACTGGCTCAGGACAGGACAAGACAGGCTTCAGAACTGTTGTACATAAGATCACTAGGAGTTGCAGGTGACTCAACATCACATAAAAACAACAACATGAAAGTGTAAAATACCTCAGTGTTATATTTTTCATGTTGCTGTTGATTGCCTTCGAGTAGAGCACAGCTCATAGCAATCCTATGAACAAAAGGTCTGACTCCCCTATACAACTATCAACATTTATCAAAGTTCATAGAGTTTCTGGAAGCACATTTAGGAAGTGGATGCCACTCCTGCTTCCAAACCTCTTATAGTATGTGATTATTTTTATATGCCATTGAGTTGCTTGTGATGCAAATGCAATAATGGTTACCCATGGTAGACAGTGTTTTATGGAGCTCCCTGACTAAAGAGACAAGCTTGGAAGCAGGAGTGGCATCCACTTCCATAATAGCTTACCTCTGGAAACCCTATAGACCTGGAGAGATGATGAAAGTCACACAAGTGTTGAGGACGTTCATTCACAAAAACAACAGCAACATATGAAATAGCTAAGTCTCACAATACTTAGTAAGGTCCATATAATTGTTAATTATTTATTATTATTATTATCATCTTTGATGATGTAATCTGTAGTGTGTTGCCCTGTTATCCAAAACATTGTGTGTCTTCGGCAATTTGAATCCACCAGAAGCTCCTTGGGGAAAAGAGGGGCAGTCGTCTTCCATTAAAGTGACAGAAGGTTTGGAAACCAATAGAGATTACTGTGAGTCCAAATAAACTAGAGGGCATTGGGTTTGGTTATAAAGCATGCTGCATTAAGTAGTAGATGCCTTGCCTTTTTTGTTGGTTCCTTCTTCTAAAGTAGTATGCCATCAAGTCACCTGCTACTCCGAGCGATCCTATGTACAACAGCCATAAACCCTGCTCTATGTCTTGCCAATCTTACTGTCTCTGACACGCCTATCCCCATTACCCCAGTGACAGAATCAACCTATCTCATAGAGGGTCTTCCTCTCCTGCACTGTCCCTCCACCCTCCCAAGCTTGATGTCCCTCTCTGAGGACTGGTCCTGCCTCACAACATGTCAGATGAAGCTTTGGAATCCTTGCTTCCAAAGAGCAGCCTGGCTTCACCCTCTCCAGGATGAACTTGTTTGTTCTCCTAGGAGTCCATGATATATTCAGTACTCTTCTCCAGCATCACAGCTCAAAGGTATCAACTCCCCCTCCAGCTATCTGATGCGGAAGCTAGTCATTAGAGTGTGCAAAATAATGTCTCAATAAAAAATTAAATAATTGAATGAGTGAATTGAGTCCATAGAATCATGTATCAAACACAGTAATCTCAATCCCCACACCCACTTGTTTTCTCAGGCACCATGAATTTTAATTGCAATGTTATGTATATCTCATGTTGTTTATACAATACTCTTAGAATAATTCCAGATATCTGATTAGAGGGAATTAAAAAAAATCCACAAGTGAATTTATCTTCTGCCTCTCACCTACAAGTTGTAGTTGTTGTTGATTGCCTTTGAGGTGAGAACAACTCATAGTGACCCTATGAACCAAAGGGCTGAAACCCTCAACAACTATCGACATTTATCAAAGTTCATAGAGTTTCTGGAGGCATGTTGTTTAAGAAGTGGATGTCACCCCTGCTTCCAAAACAAGTTGTAGTAGTATCTGTGAATTATGCCAATCTAAAGCAGGGAATACCAGAGGAATGTCTATCTGTGTTTCATTGACTATGCAAAAGCATTTGACTGTGTGGATCATAACAAACTGTGGCTGACTCTGAGAAGAATGGGAATCCCAGAACACTTGATTGTTCTAATGCGAAACTTATACTTGGGCCAGGAGGCAGTCGTCAGAACAGAGCAAGGGAACACTGCATGGTTCAAAATTGGGAAGGGCATACGCCAGGGATGCATCCTATCTCCATACGTTTTCAACCTATATGCAGAACAGATTATCCGGGAGGCTGGGCTCTATGAGGAGAAATGTGGGTCAAGATTGGTGGACGATTTATCAACAATCTGCGTTATTCAGATGACACAACCCTGCTTGCTGAAACTGAAGAGGACCTGAAGCACCTGCTGCAGAGTGTCAAGGACTGCAGCCTACAATATGGATTGAGGCTCAATGTTAAGAAGACAAAGATTCTCACCACTGGACCAATTGGCAGGGTCAGGATGGATGGTGAAGAGACTGGGATTGTACACAGCTTTAGTTTGCTTGGCTCCACAGTCAACAGTCTTGGCACCAGCAGCCAGGAAATTAAAAGGTGCATTGCCTTGGGAAAGTCTGCTGTTAGGGACCTCTCCAAAGTACTCAAGAGCAATGGAGTCTCTCTGGAGACTAAGGTGCGTCTGATACAGGCCATGGTCTTTGCAATCACTTGTTATGCATCAGAGAGTTGGACAATGACCAAGGAGGATAGAAGGAGAATTGATGCATTTGAGCTGTGGTGCTGGAGAAGAGTATTGAGAATACCATGGACTGCTAGGAAAACAAACAGATTCGTCCTGGAAAGGGTTAAACCGGGTGGCTCCTTGGAGGCAAGGATTCTGAGGCTCCATCTAACATATTTTGGACATGTTGTGAGAAACCGGTCCTTGGAGAAGGACATCATGCTTGGGAGGGTGGAGGGACAGGGCAGGAGGGGAAGGCCCTCTATGAGGTGGATTGATTCAGTGACTGGGATAATTGGGGTGGGAGTGTCAGAGACAGTGCGATTAGCACAGGACAGAAAGAAGTTTAGGGCTGTTGTACATAGGGTCGCTATGAGTCACAGGCGACTCGACGGCACATAACAACAACAACAACATTTTTATTTATGATTATGTTAAATCCAGTCTGATTTTTAAATTGCAGAGAGCTTTTTGACTTTATGGTGGCAGAGTTTCTGATAGCATGAGAGTCAAAAATTGTTTGCAATCTAAAGCAAGCATTATGGCTAGTTAGCATCTGGTGGATAAGTAAACATGTTAGAGTAAAGGGCTTAAATTTTGCTTATTTTCTCTTTGCCACAGGTTAAACAGAAATTCAACAATTTACATGCAATGGATATACAGACTTGAGATGTTTTCATTTTGTTGTTTTTTGTTTTTGTTGTTTTGTTTTGTTTTTCAGATGGGAATTAAAGTAGTGGACTCTGCAGTAGCCGGATTAGGTGGCTGCCCTTATGCGAAAGGTGCTTCTGGAAATGTTGCCACTGAAGATTTGATATACATGCTTAATGGTCTGGGGCTCAATACAGTAAGTTATTTAAATATATTTGAATATTCGTAGTTCCTTGCAACTCAAATTACAATGTTTAGGAAGATTTGCGAAATAATTTTGAGATCAAAGTTTCATTGTATTTTGTCAATTTTCTAAAAATACAATGTTAGAAAAGAAAATAGAGATTATTTGGGTCTTTATAAAGTGCCATATATCCCAATTATCAATATCGCTACTATTAACATTTTACAGTATATTGTAGTCCCTAAAGAACTTTTTCTATCTGATAGACCTAGTATCATTACTGTTGTGGTTGTTGATTTTTGCCATTTTGGTTTTTTCGATAGATGCTTGTTTTGAACTCTGCGACGTTTATTTTCTATAGTGGTAGTAACTAGGGCTTCTAGAAAAATTATACAAATATTTTTTTAAAAATGTATTTTCTATGAAGGAGTTTGCTTTTGCTTTTCAAGGAGAGGAGCAAACGGGGTGGGGGGTGGAGGTGGGGTGGGCAGGGAGAAAAGTGCAACAATGAATGAATGGAATTCCAAAATCTCTGTAGATGTTCATTAAAAGGAAAAATAAATAATAAATATTTTTATTAGTTTGTTTATAAAGTCCATGTACATTGTTTCTTATTATTCTTGATTCATCTTGTGTTGCATACAATAATTCCTATTTATAATGTTTTATAAAATTAATCACCATGGACCATGCCCACCATTACTCTGTCTTTCAGGTTTTTGCCAGATCTTTCCCATTTGCTTTACTCTCCCTCCTTTTACCAACCAAATTATGTGACTTATGATATTCCCCCTACCCATCTGACCCTCTTTTTCCACCCCTTCACCTCTCATATACCTGGATATGTTTTACTAGTTATCCTTCCGATTTTACAATAATCATATTAAGAAGTATTTGTCCTTAATGAGACTTATCTCACTCAGCATAATGCTCTACAGTCTCTCCCAAGTTGCGTCATTTTTCTACAATATCATAGCTCCTGAGTGCTGCATAGTATTCCATTGTGTGAATGCACCACAATTACAGAATCCATTCAGTTGTGGTTGGACATTGGACTGTTTCCTCATTCTTGCGATGGTGAATAATGCTGTAATGAACATTGGTGTACAAATTTCAGTTTGTATCTCTGTTCTAATTTCCTTGTGATGTATTCCTAGTAGTGGCATAGCTAGGTCATAAGAACAACTATGTTCAGTTTTTTTGAGGAAGCACCAAACTTCCTTACAGAGTAGTTGTACCTTTTACAATACCACCAATTGTGTATGAGTGTTCTCTCCACATTCTCTCCAACATTTATTGCTTGCTGTCCTGTTAAATTAGCAGTGCTACTGGAATGAGATGGTATTTCAGACTGGTTTGATTTGCATTTCTTTTATTACCAAGATCTAGAGCATTTTGTAATGTGTCTGTTGGTCATCCAAATGGTTTCCTCTTTGAAGTTTTTCTATGTCTTTTGCCCACTTTATAATTGAATTATCAGGTTCTTTTGTGTTTTGTTTTTTTTTGTTTTTATTCTGGAGGCCCAGGAGTAGTCTGTAAATGTTTGTTAGGAGACCCTTGTCTGAGATATTATTACCGTTTTGCTTTTGTTTTTTCAATCAGTAGGTTTTCTTTTCACCCTATTGGAAAAAGTTTTCCATGATCATAGTGATTTAATCTTTACAAGGTCCCATTAATTGATTTTATCCTTTCCAGATTGTATGTTATTGGCTGTATTTGTCAACCTCTTTATACCATAGACCAGGCCTTCTAGGTTTGATCCTGGTTTGTCTCTTAATGAGCTTTATGGTTTTCGGCTTTACTCCCAAGTCTCTGATCCACTTTGGGTTGATTTTTGTGTATGATGTGAGCTGTGGATTCTGTTTTAGCTTTCTTCATGTAGTAGTCCAGTTTTGCCAGCACCATTTTTTAAAGATGTTGTCATTTCCCCATTTGATAGGTTTTATTTCCTTGTCAAATATCAGTTGACCATAGATATAAGGTCCATTTGTGGGTTTTCTAGTCTGTTTCACTGGTCTATGTGCCTCTCATTTTACCAGTACTATGCTGTTTTGGTTACTACCATTGTGTAGTAGGTTTTGAGGTAATGGAATGTTATGCCTTCTACTTCATTTTTGTTTCTCAGAAATGCCTTGCTTATTCAGGATCTCTTTCTTCTGCAAATAAACCTGACAATTTCCCTTTCAATCTCCTTAAAAAATGAATTTGGAATCTGTATTGGAATTACATTGAACATGTGTGTTGTTTTTGGTAAGGTTGTAATTTTCACTATATTAATCTTCCTAACTCTGGTGGCTTAGTGGGAAGAAGCTATGCTGCAATCCCAAAGGCACATGGTTCAAGGCCACCAGCTGCTCCATGGGAGAAGTATGGTTTCCCATTTACTCATGTCTTTTATTGTTCCTCACGGAAGTGTTTTGTCGTTTTTTTTGTATAGATTTTCTATGTCTCTAGTTAGTTTCATTCCCAAGTATCGTAATTTGTGGTTGGCTATTTTAAATTATTTTGCTTTCTTAGTTTCCTTCTCTGAGTTCTTCTTATTACTGTAGAGGAATTCCACTGACTTTGGATACTGATCTTGTATCCTGCCGCCATACTAAATGGGTCCACTAGCTCTGACAATTATTTTTTTGTTTAGTCCTTGGGATTTTCTGTGTTAACTGTCATATCATCTGCATATAGTGAGAGTTTAGTGATCTCTTTGCCAATCTGTATGCCTTTTATATCTTTCATTTGTCATATTGCCCTACCAAGTACTTCTAATACAATATTGAATCGAATGGTAACAGTGGGCATTCTTGTCTGGTCTCTGTTAGGAAGAATAATGCTTTTAGTCTTTCGTTATTGAGAATCATATTGGTTCTTGGCTTTGCATATTTATCCTTTTCACTATGTTGAGGAAATCCCCCTTTTTTTTTTGTTTTCTGAGTGTTTTCATCAGAAAGGGGTGTTGGGTTTTGTCAAAGGCCTTTTCTGCATCAGTTGCCTGGATCATATATTTAGTATTTGCTTTGTTAATGTGGGGAATTATGTGGATTGTTTCCTCTATGTTTTACTATTCTTGTAATAACCTGTTATGCATCCCACTAGGTCATGGTGAATTATTTTTTATGTGCTTTTGAGTTCTATGGTCTAGGATTTTGCTAAGGAGTTTTGCCTCTAGATTCATGAGAGATATTAGTCTGTAGATTTTTGTTGTTTTTTTTCCCTTTGGTAATATTTTTGCCTTGTCTGGTTTTGGTATTATGTTTGTGTCATAGAATGTCTCTAAAAGTGCTCCTTGTTTTTCTGGTTTTGAAATCATTTAAGTTGAATTGGTAATAGAGCTACTCTTTTGGTAGGATTCATCCATGAAACCGTCTGATACTGGACTTTTTTGTGAGGAAGTCTTTATGGTCTCAATTTCTTCTTTTTTTGATGGATCTATTGAAGTTTTCTACATCTTTTTGCGTCAGTCTGGGTAGGGCATGAGTTTCGAGGAATTTGTGCATTTTTCTAGGTTTTCAAATTTATCAGAGTATAGCTTTTAATAATATTGGTATTATAGATTTCATTTCCTATGGTTCTGTTGTGATGTCACCTCTCCCACTCCTTAATCGAGTTGTGTCTTCTTCTTTTTTTCTTTCAGTAAGTTTGCTAATAGTTTGTCAATTTTATTGACCCTTTCAAAATACAGCTTATGGTTTTATTGGTGGTTTCAATTGTTTTTCTGTTTTCTAGTTCATTGGTTTCAGCTCTTGTCCTTATAATTTCATTTCTTCTAAGGGTTCTGAGCTTACATTGTCGTACTTTTTCTGTTTTATCAAGGTTTTGACTTAGATTATTAATTTTCCTTTCTTAATTTTTTTAATGTGTTTACCTATTGTTATCAATAACCCCCTGAGGACTGCCTTAGCTGCATCCCAGAGGCTTTGGTATCTTGTATTTTCATTATCATTTGTTTCGAGGAAATTTTTAACATTATTCTTTATTTCTTCTATAGCCCAATTGTGTTCTAACATGGTGTTATTTAGTTACCACATGAATGGATTTATAAACTTTATCTTCTTGTGGATAATTTCTAGTTCTGTGGATGTTTTGACCTGAGAAGATACTTAGTGTTATTTCAAAGTTTTTGTGTTTTTTTTTTTTAAATTTGTTGAGGCTTGCTTTGTGCCCTAATATATGATCACTTCTGGTAAATGTACAATGTGGACTTGAGAAGAAAGTGAATTGAAGTTTAGTTCGGTTCAGTGTTCAGAATACATCCACAATGTCAAAGTTCCTGAATTTATAGTTTAGGTTTCTTTATCTTTGTTAAGTTCCTTTTGAGTTGACCTCTCCTTTGGTGAGAGTGGTGTATCAAAGTCTCCTACTACTATTGTGATGCTGTCTATTTCTTTCTTCCATTCTGTTAATGATTGCTTTTTGTGTTAGGCACATCTGTCATTTGGTTCAAAGATGTTGACCAAGGTATGTCTTCTTGATCTACTGTGCCTTTACTCATTATATGGTGCTCTTCTTTATCTTTTATGGTGGTTTTCATCAGAGATTTTCAGGGATTAGTGTTGCCCCTCCTGCTTTGTGAATGCAATTTGTATGGTTTGTTTTTTCTACCCTTTGATTTTGTATCTATTGTTCTCTTCATTTCTTAAATGTGTCTCTTGTAAACAACATATTGAAGTATTTTTTTTCTTTTTATTCTTTCTGCTATTCTTTTTTACTTAATTGGTGCATTCAGTCCATTCATATTAAATAAGGTTATTGACAGGTGGGATTTATTGTTGCCATTGTGCTGTGTTTCTTTTTTGTTGTTGTTTTGGGCTACTGTGTTCCATTCACTTTCCTTAGCTGTCTTTTTGTGAAGGACTTCTCTTAACAATTCTTGTAGCTTTGGTCTTTTATCCATAAATTGCTTAAATTCCTTATTTTTTTGAACGTACACAATTTCTCCTTCATATTTGATGAAGCGAGCTTTGATGGGTATAAGATCGTCAGTTGGCATACATTTCTTTCAATATCCTATTCATGTT